AGCTCTCCTGCCACTCCCCCTTACACACCCCTCAGTACACCCCCTTGAAGTCTCAAATGGCGAGTCTGCTTTAGGCAGTTGAGGATCAAGTCCTGCTAGAACTTTTTTCCTGCCGTGGAAAAGCAATAATTCATTTTTTGACTCTACATAGCCAAGATCTCTAAAGAAAATAAATCCCCAAACTGCTAAAAATTGTCATCCAGTGTTCACATAAATATTCTTTTAAATCTTCATACCTTTTTTTCCCTGCAAATGAGTAATGAATTATTTACAGACATACACTGCTTTTCTGTGATTTATTTAAATGCTCTTTAGTTGTTTTTCAATCTAATAAAATACACTGGTTTTTATTTATTAACACAGATTAAAAATACTTCTTAGCTCTTCTTCTCCTTTGCAAACTTCTTTCCCCTCTGTGTTTGTATTTTAAAAGTTTAAAGGACAATCTGTCCTGCCTAATAAAAGTCCTTAGTTATCTAACGGCTAAATGTATTTCCGGTAGCAAAAACATGAAGCTTCTGTTCTACTACATAATTCTGTCATGACCTGATGACAATTAACCTGTTTGCAAGGAAGAACACCTTCATTTTTATGGAATTTATATCCTGCACGGGATCACTGACTATGAATAACGTTGCCATGAACTAGGTGGAGAAGAGGGGGAGGGGCTAGAGCTCAGCCTCCTCCCCTCAAATCACCAGCAATCACAGGTCACGAGGGCGTTAAAGGCACCACTAAGTACCTTCCTTCAGACACGATTTCTCTGAAAACATTAATAAAATTAATGTACCTATCCCCATAGCTAAGCACCCATAAGTAAACTTTATTTTATAAGGTGTAATAACTTCGTTGGAAAAGTTAGGTTGGTTAGAGATATGGTTTTTTTCCTTTTCTTTTTCCTCTTTGCCACCCTGCCTCTCTGGTTTTTTGAACCTTTTTGTATTATGTATTAATGACTCGTAATTCTGAGCTAATATCCTATTTCTGCTTTACACATTAGTTAAAATCAGTATTGCAAACTGAATCTAAAATTATGTCAGGCTCCAAAGATTGCGATAGTTGTTTAAAAGTCACCTGGACTTTAAATGTTAAGTTTTATGTTATTTATCTTCAGAGCCTTGTTTTCTGAGCCTCACTTGGATCAAGATATATGTTTTCCAGGTTTTTCTTTACAATGCAAGAGAAAATATTCTCCCAGACTTAGACTGTAGGGGTTGAAGATCAGATGAGATTGTAGAAATTGGTAGTAGTGATGCCTGCTATCATGGCACAACTCTCTAAATCTCCCAAAAATCTACAGTGCAGTCTGAAATTCAGAGAAAAAGGGTGTATATCTGTATACATACTATATCCATTATATGATGGATTTCTTCCCAGGTTCAGTCCCCGTACCCTCCCAGACACAGGTGACCACCATATTCTCACTGGCTGGCCAGTATTTCTTTCATGCTTCTATCTAGTAATTTTGATTTGGTGGAAACCATTTAACAGCAGACTGATTCACTAAGACTGAAAACTGGGAAAATAAGGCTACTTTATGTGATTAAATGGAAAAAGAACATGTTTAAACTTCAAGAAACTGTTTACTATGTGTTCATTAGGTATATTAATACCATCTCTTCAACAGTTCCTCCTGTCAGTAGGCCACACAGGACAATAACTACTCAGAAACAAATAATTAAATAGAAAAAGCCAGTGGAAAACAGGAAGGTGAAAAGAATTCATTGACAGAGGAAAACACTATAATTTGCAGAGTGAGACACAGTCCTACATGTAGAAGACGAAGGGGGGGGGGGGGGGGGAAGAGAATGAGTCATTTTTTTACCTTTGTTTTGCACACATAGTAAAAATCTCTTTGCATTTATCAGCTAAAAAATGTGGCGAAGAATGGTTATTTTGTATTCATGCAGTTACAGCACATACAGTACAGCAAGAATATGCTGGGTAACTGGAAATTTCACAAAACTAATTTTGAATCACAGATTTGGTGACACTGATTTATTTTTTTTCTCTTAATTATTTTACCATCTGACTTCTGACGTAATGTAGCATAATCACATAGAGGACTTAGTAAAATGTTTGTATTTACAAATCCAGTTACTCAAAAATCACCCTTCAATAGTATTCAGAAGATTTTATGCATCACATATATAATGTCTTGATACGGATTAGAACATTTAGTCAAAACTTGTTGTCCTGCACACATGGTGGCAAGGGCAAGAACAAATAACGTTCTGACTGCCAATGTTTTGGTTGAATAGGCTTCCTGTTAGTTACATGACTTCTCGGGATATCTGATGTCCATTGTGAAAAAATCTTCGCTGTACTGCTTATCTTACTGATGTAGCTATTTCTTAGTAGGCTGATGACACATTAAGCTTGGATACATGCATGCATTCCCTGTGATGCTGTAAAACCAGTGAATTGGAACAACTGCTATTTGCTTTAATTATGTGGTACATTAGTGCATACCAAATATTTGAATCAGAACTGACATACTTATAAGCCGCCAGTAATAAATTGAAGGTTGAGAACCTGAGTTTGACACCCTCAAAATGGGAACTCAAAATGTTCCAGAAGTAGGTATTTTACCTTGGCTGTACAGTCAGCAGGAAAGGACTTACTACTGAAGAAAAAGGAAAGCTAGGGCTGCACAGGACTATCGGAAGCCCTAGAAACATGCTTGCTGAAGTTTGTGACACTCCACTGCTTTTATAAAAGCAGTTATGGATCTGACAACATTTCAAAGGCACTACAGTGACTGAGAGAGCAGGGAAGGACATTTCAGTTGTTAACAGAGCAATGTAGTATAATTAGAGCTGAAACAATACCCCTTTAATACTAGATGTAAGTATTTAATTTCACACTTTACAGGCTGTTTTGACAGAGGAACACACACACATTACACACAACTGCTTTAGGTGGAACTAATTTTTAACAGTAAGTACTATTACTAGCCACTGTGGATAGAACTGTATTTAAGACAGACAACTCCTTGCTCAAAGAACAAATGACATTTACATACAAAAAATGAAACAGAAGGAAATATATTTAATCTCTAAGTCCTCTACCAAAAAAAAAGATAGAAATCTAAGGGTTGCTGAAAATGGTCCAAACCTTCATAGGCTTTGCCTGCATCCTTGACAGAACATGGCATTAGTCTCTTCAGGAAATCATATGGATGTGGAGTGGGTAGAAGAACTTAGGGCTGGCATAGAAATATATTAGTTTAATTTTTTGTGAAATGTAAGCTCAGTGACTAGCTTCAACTGAGGAAAGCTGGCGATGATATGTAATCACTGGTCTTTTTCAAATATTATTTGAAGCAAACTTGAAGGCCTGTTCATAGAAATTTACATAAGAGTTTAACTCAGCAGTGAAATATTAATTATATGAGACCTGCTGGCAGCACCAGGTCTGGGCATTATGAAAAATTTGTTAGAAAGTTGTGATCTAAGCAAAAACAGGTATGTTTAAACATGCCACATAGAAATTCCAAGATAAGACTTTTTTTCACAAGTCAGCTATATCTTAGTTCTGGTGCTCATGGAACAATCTCTGTTTTCTGAAAGCCTACAGTGGGGATTCACGTGTGTGTGCGTGTCTATGTATATATAATGTACGTATGCACATATAAATGTATACACACATACGCACTATATATAGTGACAGAATATCATAGAACAGAGACAAGCAGATCCACAGCCAAAATTTGTAAAGGACTGTAATGGATTTTATGTATTCATAGAATCACTGAATACTCTAAGCTGAAAGGGATCCACTAGGATTATCGAAATCCAGCTCCTGGCCCTGCATAGGACAGCCCTAAGAATCATGCCATGATTCATGCCATGTGTCTGAGAGCATTGTCCAAAGGCATCTTGAACTCTGTCTGGCTTGGCTCTGTTACCACTTCCCTGGGGAGCCTGTTCTAATGCCCAACCACCCTCTGGGTGAAGAACCTTTTTCTAATATCCAGCCTAAACCTCCTCTGACACAACTTCAGGCCATTCCCTTGGGTCCTGTCACTGTCACCACAGAGAAGAGATCAGTGCCTGCCCCTCCTCTTCCCTCACAAGGAAGTTGTAGACTGCAATGAGGTCTCCCCTCGGTCTCCTCTTCTCCAGGCTGAACAGACCAAATGACCTCAGTTGCTCCTCATATGGCTTCCCCTATAGACCCTTCACCATCTTTGTACCCTCCTTTGGACACTCTCCAATAGCTTTATACTCTTCTTATATTGTGGTGCCCAAAACTGCACATAATATTCAAGGTGAGGCCGCACCAGTGAGCAGAGATGGACAATCATCTTCCCCAGCCAGCTGGGAGATTCAGATTACAGTGTTGAAAGGAGAGGGCCTATATAAGTAGAATATGTGCAGGGAGAAAAAGATGATGATTGTAAGTTTTATTCTGGCTATTCTTAATGTTATTCTTAGCATTAGCTATTCTTAGCCTAAGGTTATTCTTAGCCTCAAAATGAGTTTTTAAAGATATCTGGCTGAGCAAAATTATTGGAATTATTTAGGCTGAAGCAGAGGGAGGCAAAAAACCCCTCCAACCTGGACAGATAGAGCTACCAGTTCCCAGGTATCTCAAACAAATATGACAAGGCTTGTAGGAAGAGGCAGATTGGAGGAAAGGAAGACTGACAACACCAGAATGAAAAGAAGCTGCATTGTGCATGTAACCAGCTGTACCCATCCTGTGACACTTTCTGCTGCTCTCAGCCAAATTTTGCCTGATGTCTTCCCAAAGGAAGCATACGAAGCATTATCTGCTAGGACCGACGGGGCAACTTTTCCACCTTCATTCCCACCACTTCCTGGACCTTCTCCACAACCCCCCACCACATGTTCCTGACAGGTGCCCCTAAAAATTGATCCAGGAAGCGGCAAAGGGCGGCTGGGAGGCGGCCGGCCCGAGAGCAGCCGCTCCTCCCACCCCCAGCGCAAGGCCAGGGTAGGCACCCCCCGCCTGCGGGCTCACCCGGCTGAAGCTGCGGGGAAAATTGTTTCAGAGGGCGGCTCATGAACCCCCCGCCGGGGCTGTTCGCGTGCAGAACATCAAAGCACTTGGGGCAGAACGAAGTTAGAGCGCCCCGTGGTTGCTCGTAATTAGGAGAGGGAGAACGTCGCGGGGGGGACTCTGAACGCCGCTCCCGCGGAGGTGCGGCGGGTCTGCAAGGGCGGGGGATGTCTGTGTAGGCTCTGAGGCCGCGGGGTCGGGGCTGCCTGGCCTCCCTTCCCCGAGGCACACGGCGGGGAACACGGTCCGACCCTTCAGGGAAGACCCCCATCCCCCGCCTCCTAAAGGGAGGAGAGGAGGGAACGGCGGAAAGGGGTCGGCGGGGTGGAGTTTGCCGGCCCGCACGTGTGGGAAGGCCGGGCAAGTGGGCTCTGTGACGGGAACAGCGCCCCGGCTTTCGCCGCCGAGAGGGACCCGCCGCTGTCAGCGCAGCTCGGCGCAGCCCGCAGGGAGCCGTGCCCGGGTCCCGTAAGTGGCTCCTCTCTCCCGCCTTTCCCTTCCTCGGGACCGAGTCGGCGAGGGGTTGGAGGAAGTGCCGCTGCCGGGGCCTCTCGGCTGGCTTGGAGGTGCTGGCGAGGGGTCTCACGTTCCAGCCAGGCGAGAGCCCCCGGTGTGCGGCCGGAGGGGCGCTGACCCTCCGCCTGCTCCGAGCAGTTACTCTTAGCGCCGGGCGACTTGCGCGGGGAGAGAGGCAAGGACTTTTCTGCTGCCTTTTAAAGTCCGCTGGGGGGGGGAAGCGGCGCTGGCGTTTCCCTGATGGCCCTGGTCGCGTTCCCCCAGCGCTGGGCGCTGCAGCCGGGGGCGCGGGGCGTGTGGAACCCGCGGGCGGGGCACAAGGGGAAAGGCACCCGAACGCTGCTGGGCAGCGGGTGTGGGACCTTGTCTGCTGGTCCTGGGGCAGCGTCTGCTGCTCCTGTAAGTTTGGAGGCGTGGATTGGTGAAACGGCGCTCCCTGGGTTTCCGACGAGCTCGATCTGAGACTTTACCTGGAGTTGCTGTCCATGCAGGTGCTGCCCGTGTGCAGGGGTTTACTGATTCAAAGCACACAGTGCAACCACAGTTCTTCACTGCGTTTGAGACACTGGGGAAATCACACTGCAGTGGAGAGCATGAAGTGGGTGCAGGTCCCTAACTGTGGTAAGGCAGGTTTAGGAAACCTAAGATTGTTCCCTTCTGCCGACTTTGCATGTTTAAACGTAGAAATATGTTTGAAGTATGTCACCCAACATGTAATGCTACTGGCAGCTGGAGAAAAGTAGTCCAGTAAAATAAATTTAAAATTTGAGGTGTCTGAAGCAACAGAACATAAACCTTATGTTTAAAATATTAAGTATCACTCGAGATTTATGATAACATTTGGATGATAGAGTGTTGTGGATCTGATGCAAGTCTTGGGGCTGGGTGAACTCCATTAATTTGGCTGAATTACCTTAGTTTGGGGGAGTGGGGTTATCACACTGCTTGGTTCTGACAGTGGATGGAGTTTCTTCTGATTTTTATGCCGGTGCTTAACACATGATTCCAGCAAAAGTAACTTACTTGCGAAAGGAATATAAGTTTCCTGAAGTTTGGCCTCAAGTGTGAAAGGAATTACTTCAAGCCTACCATCTGCTACAAGTATATTAATACCTAACATTATTTGAAAACCTTTCAAACATTTCTCTTTGTATTGTTCGTATTAAAACCAAAACAAATATATTGAGAGGCATTCAGATGTTTCAGAGATGGAGAACATAAGACAAGGGATCATGGCATATAGAACTTGTATATATTGAAACAAGCTGGTGGTAGTTTGTTTATGCTAGAAAGACAAAACACATTGTATGAAAAGTTCCTGTAGACACTGTGCAGATTCAGTACACAGTGGATCTTGGATTAGAATTTGGATTACACACTGCGGAAAATGTTTTGAATTCTGGTTTGTGTCACCTAATGGCATTAAAACATTAAGATTGATTGTAAAAATAGGCATTAGGCCTATAAAAAAAACTCGTTTTCATTGGTATGTATGATGTATAATATAGTCAGACATAAAAAGACTGCCTGTCCTGCTCCTGTAAGCAGATCTCCATTGCTGCAATTAATTCCATTTGACTCTACCCTGTCCACACAATTCTAAACCCCACTGGGCTCTGATACAAATTGATACAGGAACAAAACAAACCCACAGAGACATAAGTAGCTGGTTTTATATCTTATGCAAAGTGCAATGATAATTTGTACGAATGGCATACATTTTTACTCTTTTGCCACATGTTGTGATGAAGATTATTCATGCATGGAGTAATCTTCTGTCTAACTGATGTTACTCAAATACAACTTTTGATTCTTCAAACGTGGATGAAAACTGGCACTTTGTGAAGTGTTAATGCAATGAAGCTTTTGATCCTGAAGCTCAGTATGTTGGCTGGCGTGTGCATGCGTAAATGGTCCGAACAAAGTTGTTGACCTCAGTAAAAATGTACTTGATAAGATGCGTGACTGTGTAGCTGTTTCTAGCTTTGTACACACAGATTAAATCAAAATCAGTTTCAACTTGCTTAATAATCACAGAATCACAGAATATCCTGAGTTGGAAGGGCCCACAAGGATCATCGAAGTCCAAATCCTGGCCCTGCACAGGACAGCCCCAAGAATCACACCGTGCCTGAGAGCATTGGGTTAATAAATTAATGTACTTAGCATATTTTCCACCTGCCTGTATATACTTCTAATTTTTTTAAGTTTAAGATTTTAGTTAATAAAGTACACAGGGATGACAATGACTTTGGAGTCAGTATTGTTATTGATGCCATTTATTAGCTACTTTATGGGGATATTTGATATATGAATATGTTGGCATAATAAATGGCAGTGAGTACAGAAAGACAGGCAAGATAAAAGAAGAATTTAAAACTTTTTAAAACCTTTTCACTTTTTAAGTGTTTTGGCAACAATGTATTTCAAAGGAGGAGGTTTCTTTTTGTAAATCAGTGATTGCAGGTGGATGTGACAGAGACTCAAGCTAGTCAAGACTCCTGGGTAATTTTGCTGGATATAAGAATCCAGCAGGAGATCTCGAGGTGAAGAGAACTGCTAAAGATCCACCTATCTTAGGTGAAAATATGTGAAACTTAATTTTGAAAGCGTAGGGACCAGAAATGGGACAGAGATTGAAAACACATATCAGCTTAAGTCAGTGTAGGTTTTAGCTTGTTTGAAAATGCATATTACTTCTACGTTTCTGCTTGTGTGTACTGCAGAGTAACTGAGCAAAGTTGTGACTGGTGTTCATTGCAAAATGAGATGTATTGAAAGGTGCTTGAAGATTTAGTTCCCCCTTTCGTGCCTTGGCAGATTTTTGTTCAATTTGCAGTGGACTATATGTTTAAGACAGAGGAGAATGAAGGGGAAAGACTACAAAAAGGAACTTAAGCTATATCTCATTCCCTAAGTTTAATATCAGAAAACTCTTACAGCTTTACCCATACACCTTTTGATCATCTTCACTTGTGTTGGTTCCATAGGTATTTTGGCATCCATCCATCATGATACAGGTATCACATGACACTAAAAAAAACTCCCCAGCTAGACATGGCATGCTTTCCTGGTTTGCCTGCTGTTCTATTTTTAATCCGAACTCTCTCTAGCTCATACAATTATATGCTTCAGGAGAAAACCCTTTAGGAAATTTTCCTTCACATAGGCAATATTAGGTAGGGCACTAACATAAAAGTATAGCATGCATTGTAGGGTACTGGTCCTGTCTTTGACTTATTTTTTATACTAGAATGAGCAATCTTCTGCCATTTCTTTTCCCCTCAGGTACCTCCCAGGCATTTGGTGATCTATTAATGCCATATAGCCAAAGGTGTAGAAAACAGCTGTCAGTGCCATTTTAATGCATATTTGTGACTTTAAATCAGAACTTCATGTGTTCACATTAGCTTTTTCCATACTAAGATACTAAAAATTATTTTATATGCTGCTGAAATTATTAAAAAGTATATAAAAATATTTGGAGTCATGTTTCTGTGTCTGTAAGTTTTAATGTATCTGAAAGCGCCCAGCTTCGTGATACCTTTACTGTTTATCACATCACCTTTGATCCCTCAGTGTCATGATACAGTTCTGATCCTCAGCTTTGTTGATTCTCATCCTTCTGTTTGTTCTCCACTTGGGGTAAGATTCATCTTCATTCCACTGGTGGTAAGTCAATTGACAGGGCTGTTGGAAGCAAACAGTTGAGCTTTCAGAAAATGACAAACGTGTCCTCCTCTCTGCTGGGAAAAGCATTTGTATAAGTGATCTGCCACTACAACTCCAGTGAGAGTTATAAAGGTTACCAGTAAAAGTGGCTTCTGGGATTCCTAAGTTTAGTCATTGCTGACAGTCATCTAAGATCTGCAGTACTATCTTGTGTGATCTCAACATTGTAATTTATCTGAATGGGCATACTCCAGGAGGAAGATAATTTAGAAACACACTGAATGTTGTCATTGTTCTTATGAGTTCCTGCATAGGATTTGCGTATGTGTGGAATGAGATTTCTGAATCTCTGTGAAATACTGATGGGAAATCTATTGCAAGTGCTTGACCACAGAATGAGCTCAGGACATCTTGTTCTACACACATCTGGAAAAGAAATACACCATTACCTCAAATAAAACATTCTGCTTATGAGATGATTGTTGAAGGTCTCTTAATGCCAATATATGGGCTATAGCAATTACATACACAGATAGATATCCTTTAGTTCCCTCCGTCTTACTTGACCATGAACAGTAGAAATGAGGATGGGCAGGTTGTGACAGTCTAAAAAATTAATACTTTAATGGCTGATGTTGAATCCATTTTTACTGAACGTTACTAGGGGAGAGGTGCTACTAGAATAGCATACATAGACAATTGCCATATCTGTGCATTCTTTACTGTGGATATGATTCTGTCCTAGACTGCATAGACTCCCATGTACGTGTCATGTATGTGATGGTTGTGTATATATGTAAGCAGCCCCCCAAGACGTGTTATAAGGAAGTAACCATTAAACTGGAGTAGAATATTTTATGGTTTAAAGTTAATAAAAGAGGTCCTCACAAATAAAGTGTACTTTCATTCACATATTGTAAAGTTAATAGAATCCCAAAGACAGATGGAGCCTC